TAGACACCACACTGCAGAAATGGGGAAAGTATCTATTGTTAGAAAGGCTTCAGCTGAGCTAATCTTCAACCTATTTAAATGCAAGCTGCGTGAAGCACATTTAAAAGATAAACCAAGAAGCAAACCCATGCATTTTACAGACTCAAAATAAGACTGTATCCTCAAAGCACTGTCTTAGCTACAGATCAGCTCAAGTAGCAGTAAGCAAACAGTAGTTTCAAAGGAAAGAATCCATACCATTTCAGTAGACGATATAGATCACACACTTTCTAATATACGTGCAAATTGGATCTTATTCCCAACAGAGGTAGAGAAACTAAGGCACAACAAAACCCATATACGAGGAGATGTAACTCACCTACTGTTGGCTTAATATCCTATAGGGTTATTCCATGACTCCTAGTTTCCCCAAACTGCATGCAGTGAAATGGGTACCTGGGGACAGTCACCACAAGTTCTACATTTCCCATCAAATTGCATGTCCACATGCATTTGTGACAGCAAGGCACTAGCACACGGTTTAGAGTTTCACACCTACAGATAGTCCAGAGATGAAAACACAACTGCTAATCAGTGCTGTGACTAGCTGTGCTAGTTTTGGCTTGGATGGAGTTCATTTTCTTCATAGTAGCTAGGATGGGGCTATGTTTTGGATTTGTGCTGAAAACAGTGTTCATAATGCCGAGATGTTTTTGTTACTGCTGAGCAGTGATTACACAGAGCCAAGGCCTTTTCTGCTTCTCATCCCACCCCACCAGCGAGCAGGCTGGGGGGGGCACAAGGAGCTGGGAGGGGACACAGCCAGGACAGCTGACCCCAACTGACCACAGGGATATCCCACACCATGTGACATCATGCTCAGCATAAAAATCTGGGGGAAGGAGGAGAAAGGGGGGGACATTTGGAGTGATGGTGTTTGTCTTCCAAAGTTACCGTTATGTGTGATGGAGCCCTGCTTTCTGGAGATGGCTGAACACCTGCCTGCCGATGGAAAGTAGTGAATGAATTCCTTGCTTTGCTTTGTTTGCACACATGGCTTTTGCTTTACCTATTAAACTGTCATTATGTCAAGCCATGAGTTTTCTCACTTTCACCCTTCTGATTGTCTTCCCCATCCCACCGGGTGGGAGTGAGTGAGCGGCTGTCTGGTGCTTAGCTGCCGGCTGGGGTTAAACCACAACCCTAGCCAATAAGATGATGTGAATTGCACTGGAAGCTGGAATGATGAGAGGTAAATCCAAATCCTCTTTCCCCATTGGAAGAAAAAAACCAAACCAAAACCCCCCCAAAGACTTGAAAGGTATTGATAATATTCCATGTGGCAGCTTGTGAAGGAGGATTAACCATTACTAAACAGAGAAATGGACTTGTGCAGCAGGCAGTAAGCTACGCAAGAAAGAAACAACCTGTTCAGAAAACATTCAGACTCTTCCCATGTTACTGAAACTCAGAAAACACCAATGGGTTTTAGCACTATTTTACTTGTATTTACAGCTATGTTCAGAGACGAGGAGGAGGACAGAAGCAGGACCAGATGAGACTTCATAGTGAAACTTGTCTGCCACAGAATAGCTATTTAACAGGACATGACCCTACACCCTTTCAGTGGTGGACCCTCATCTGGATCAGGTGGATTGCCACACCTCCTGTGACAGTTTAGGAGCTTTCAGGATCAGAAGGGATTCTGAGTGAGCAGGAGAATGCCTGAGGTTTGCAGAAAATTGACTGCCTCCAGGAAGATTATATTAAGGCCAAGTCTAGACCCAGCTAGTTCTTTATATGTATCTTGAGATGTGCACTTTTGCTTCATTGACACGTCTTGAATTTCAACTACCCCCTTTTTCCGTCATGACAGACACAATCTTGTCCCACGTATCTGACGTGGTCATGCAAACATTGTCCCAGCTGTGTCTTCTCTCAACTTACTGTTCTGCCCTGCCACTGTCTAGAGCCCCTCTGTTGCATCAAATGCAAACTATTTATCTTTGCTTTTCATGGCATGTTTCAAACCTAGCTACCTGTCATGACTCTGGCATTTGCTCTGTCAAAAATGTCAAAGTCCTCTGGCCATAGCCTTATATTTTTCAAACAAGCACATTATTGCTTTCTCCCATATCACTCCTTCATGCCTGCAAGCATTCAATTTCTTCCTCTTTTTAATCCCTGCCTTATGACTTTTTGCCTACAAGAAAGCCTAGCAATAATTATGTACCTGGTAGACTGAAACTGCCACCTATGATGCTGATGAAGACTTTCTGGCACTCCATCACCTGCACCAGCATGGTTTTTTTCCCCTCAGAAGCTTCAGTGCAAACTCTTTGGATCAGGGATAGTCTGTATTGTTAGCTGTTCCTCACAGCAGGATCCAGTGAGGTCCATGAATATTTGGAAGAAATCAGTAAGATTGCTTATGTAGCAACCACAAAATGTATTTCAGCACTTTGCAGATGATGACAGGAAGTTAGGGACAATGTATCTTCAGCTCTCAGTTCTTAAAATGGTAAGGTGTCCCAGTCTGAGCTGGTAAAACATAAATCAATTAATTCTAGTTTGCAGATGCATGTCATGTAGTTCTTCCTGAAAGCATGGCCAGAAATGGGGCTTTTTACATTGTTCAACCAGTGGCACCACCTTTTACAAACACCACATCAAAAAGAGGCAAAAACCACACTGAAGAAACTCAGACAGAAAAGAAATCCAGCTAACAATGAAACTATTCATACTATGTTTGACGTGCAGCAGATTGCCAGTTAAATCTTTCCACTGTTGCTGCATGGACTTGGGTCTGAAGGGCAATTCAATAAAAGAAATAGCCTCTCCAAAGTGGTACAAGTTCAATTTCAAGCCTGTCAGCCTCAGTGTTCTAGTAAAAATCAAAATCTGTTGAGATAATGTTTCAAACCTTAAGAAATTAGAAGTTTTACTTTGCTAGAACTACACTGAAGTACATGATTGGAAGAGTTGCCTGTACATTGAGGATATTCTGGAGTTATGCTGTGATCAGATCTGCGGTTTCCATTCACCTGCTACAAGGTACTCCTGTACGCCAACCACTATCAGCTGAAAGCGATAACGTCTCTTGTTCTGCAGGTTTCTTATCAACAGACTGCATTTGCCCACCGGCTTTGAATTGGTTTCCTTGCACATTTCAAGCACATGAATGCATTCCTCCGGACTAATGTTCCTATTTTTCAGCATTGCTTGGCTTACAGGGCAGCTGGCTCTACAATCTAGCTGGAATCAAATTAGCTGTTGATAATATGGTTGTAAATAAGCTGAGCAGCTGAATAGCTGTACATCACATGTGTGCGCAGCTCGATCTGCTGGAAAGTCTGAACACAAGATCTTCCTGAGAAACTTTTCAGAGTAGTTTTTACATCAGTGAACCTTAAATAACTGCAGCTACGTATGTGCCTTTGAGAGCGCAGACACCAGTTCACAGAAGCGGGAGCCTTCACTAGTTCCATGCAAATGTCCATAGGGAAAACTAGTCATGAACCAGTCCTCTGCAGTAATGAGATGGTCTCCTTTGGACACAAGCCACACCGAGCTGGCACAGACATGGTGACCCTCAGGCCCTGAGCTAATATGACAGCACAGATGTAGCCTAGAGGTTAGCATCCCTGATTGCCTTTGACAGTCAATAGCGACAGGCCTCCTCCTTCCCCAAAGAGCCTCTCCCTTCTCACCAACCGATTTGGCCATCTAGTTTTGTACCAACCATCAGCTAGTGTAAACACTCTGCTATGGCCTCAATCACTGCATGTATTCTGAGTTGGGTTTGGAGGCTTGGAAGAGGGGTGATGCCTTTTGGAACAACAAAGGCATTGGACAAAAAGTAAACTCTTTTTTCAAAACTATAACCTTAGCATTTTTCTTTCCATCCTTCATCTGGCTTGGCATGATTTCTGCACCAAACCCTTGGCTTCCTTTGTGCTTACAATGTGGAGTTCATGTGACGAATCTATGAATAGACCTCTCAAAAGCCTCTCCCATCAGCTGCAGACCCCACACCACAAATGATTTCACCCTTAATTAGCAAACCATTAAAGTCTCCAGAATTACAGTACAGTTGCCAATATTCTCAGCTTCAAACCACTAAGTACCTTTTCTTCTCTTTGGCTTTTTAGCTTAACAGGGAAAAAAAATGCATCTCTCACCAATCTCATCCTATCTGCGGTCCAAGTGCTCATCAAACACTTGGAGTGGTTATAGTTGTATTCCTGGAATTGTTATTCTTACTATTTTTTTCTCTCTTTATTTCCAGTGATAGAACAGGAAGTTTACCTTCATTTTCTAACTGGTTTCCCTTTTACGCAGTTGTATGAACAGGCTTTATTTTGGCTTCCCCTTTCTCTCTCTATTTTTTATTAGAATTCCCAGCATGCTGTGCCTTTACTGTTTGATACTTTTTTTTTTAAACCTTTAAAACCTTAATATTCCTTTTGCTGTGGATTTCAGTAGCTAAATTCTTCATGTACTGCCACTGTTTCAGACACTGTACCCTTGCTAATAGCAGCAGCCCAAATAATAGTTCAGCAAAATTCCAAAATTATAAACCGTCAAAACTGGGTGTGCAACATGAACTTTTTGATAATCTAAAATCAAAGCCGCCCATGGTGCCAAAACTGATGTACAGCCCCAAACACAGATTAAAATCACCCAGCTCGGCCCAGCTAAATTCAACTAAATGTCTAATGACCAATGTGTCTACAGTGTGTATGCAACATAAATGAATTTAAGATTCCCCAAATCAATGTATAATGTGAGGAAAAAATGTAGAAAATTAGTTAAAATAACTTTTATTTTCTCCAAAATATTTGTCAAGAAACATGCATTTTTGCAATTGGATTCCTGTGCGTTCTTAGCCCAATTCTTGACCTGTTCGAACCACGTGCTACATCCTATAATATGATACAACTTCTCACAAAGCTGCTTTCTAGTTTACGTGCATCTTGACATACCAGCTGTAATAGAAAACACTGTAGGTGTTTACTTACAGTTATGACAGGTAGCTCCCATGTAGCCTGTATCATTACAATCGCAGTAAAAGGTGGTCCAGGACTGAGAGCATTTTCCTCCATGTTCACAGTAGTTGGGCAAACATCTAATTGGAGACATTTTTTAAAAAATGCAATTAATTATAAACATTTCTGTAAAAATAATGTGCTGGAAAAAATAATTATAAAACTGTCTCAATTCCCCATTCACGCAAGAGTTTCCTCGGGCTGAATCACTGTATAATACCTAAAATAATTACTTATTCCTCTGATCTGTGATTGACTTCAAATACAAGCACTGATGACAACAACATTTAATGTATCCAGCAAGTCGGTAAAGATCACTCTCAGTAAAAACATTCCACTTGTCTCCACTTACTAGCAGTTACAGTTTCACAAACTTTCTGAGCACAAAGAAGGATGAGTAACAGGTGAAAATGCTATTGAAAGCTTGTTTCAAAGAAGAATCCCCTGTTCTCTGATTAAACAGGCATCATTGTTATCAAAATTAGGCTGAGTTACACTTGTGGTAACACAAACAGCATGAAAATCTCAGAAGTGAGAGGAAAAAAATGCTTCATTTATGAGTTCTGTACTCTCACTTCTTTCCCTCATTTTAGTTGGTATGCCTTTAAAGTATTATTGTGAAGAAAATTATTAAAAGAAGAAAGAAGCACAACAGCATGCATCTTGGGAAGTGAACACAAATAAAAGCTGTGGGAGATAAATTCAATCTCCAGGACAAGAAGTGAATGCTGATCTGAACTACACTGGTGTAAACACAAGCAGTGCAATGGAGTTACACCAGCCTAAATGGAAACAGACATTGTTCATTGTTTGCCTTTTCTTTCCTTTTCTTTTCTCTCCTTACTGTATATTAGATATTCTATTTTACACTGTACGTTTGACTTTTGAAAAATGAGTAACTTGTTTATACCACTGATTCAATTGTGATGGGTGGGTGGATAGAAACCAGGCAATCAATTTATCTCATACACACCAGCACTCCACTAGGGCTTGCTTTGCTGTAAATTGAGCTTCAAAACCCCTTTTATGGCCCAGATCTTTCAGTGCTGTTAGTGGTGAAGTCACTGAGGCTACCTAGATTTGTACTAGCTGAAGCCATGATTTTATTGCAGTTCATCTCATCCTTTTGTAAATGTTTTTTCATTCAAGTGTGCATATTGCCTTAAACTGTGGCTTTCAGTCTGTTTTTTCTAGAATCCTTACAATTAAAGTGATTTTCAAGTGTGTAAGCAGAAAACCTGTATGTTGCTAATGGCTGTAGTCTTCACCAGTCTCCCGAGCCCCACTGGCCAGGCATTAACAAACTTACTTGAGTCCAAGGCTGTTTAGAGCTGCCGAACATCGACAACCCAAAGAAACCTGTGTATGTGCATAGAAGCCTATCAGATCAACCTCTCATCCTCAATATGCTGTATGCAAATACATGCATACATATATATACTTGTCTGTACAAGTGTGAGTCTGAGATTTGTTCTAGAACTCAGGTTTGCTCGATCACTATTTATACCATCATACATAAAATTATAAAGATCATATAAAATATTAATATGAAATATTAATTATTTTTATTAATGCTTACTCAATTACTATAGTCATTATTTATTATTCAAATATTAGAGACATAAGGAATTCAGTAAGACAGTATGATATTTATAGCTATCTGTAACATCTGTTAAAACAATTGTAAGATATATTGGTCTTGTAAAAATCGTTGTTATGGTTTCTATTAATCATTGGGCTCAAATACAAAATGAGGAAAGAGAATGGGAAACACGTGCCTGGTTTTCCAGCTCACCAGGGAGCTTTTTTCAGTGCTGTGGAGAACACCTTGTTTCTAAAAGAAGAAAGATACAAAGCAGACAGCCAAAACTGTTGGTTTTGCCCCATCCTTACAAGGCAGGAACTCTAAGAAGGGATGAGATTTTGGCTTTTAATGGTATGCTGGGAAATCATCTAACAGAGCCTGACGCCCTGCTGGTACAGTGACAGCCCAGCCAGCCCCTCTGCCATTACATCTACTCTTGGCAACGGTGAAGAGAGATTTAGAGACTTTGGGTCGATGTTAAGAAAGCAAGAGCAGCCTACAGGATGGCACAGACAGGACTGGCTGGTGCACGATCTGCACCCAGCTACGCTCTGCAGGACGGTGCCAGCTCCCTTGAACCAGCAACTCCCCAACAGCTTCATCCCAGAGGCTGCGGGAGAAGCACAGGGGTTCAACAGCTCTATAGTGATGTATATGAATTTTGCCTGTAAGAGCAGATTTGCTCATATTTGTACTTTAGTCATGCCTGCCCTTGCCCTCAGCATATTACCTGTACTTCTACCTGCTATTTTGTGATAAACATTCATTTATGTCACCTGTAAAGCAGCTGTAGTTATATTCACATCACAGTGTTGCTGGCGACAAGAAACATTCGATGTTAATAAAGCTCTTTGGAGAGGTAAAAAGAACAGTACTGTGTTATTATCATAATTTACATCATCAGTGTAATGGACAAATATGCTTTCTGCCTATTTTAAGCTACCTTTTATTAATTAACCCAATGCAGTAGAGTTAATTACTAGTCATTTGTGGTTTGCCAAAGGCCTGTGTCAGAGGCTTAGCCACATTTATTCCCTTAAAACAGTTTCCTTGTAAAGGCTTTACAAAGTTGAAGGTCACTTCTCATTTCTACTTCTCTTACAAATGCAGACACTTCTTCTTCCCCCAACTATGCACAAAATGCAAGTCAAACTAGCCATGTAAGCTTTTAATGATATTCATAAATTCAGAATTAAACCTTTTTTCTTCCTTAGTCTATTTTCTTTAATTAGCACCAAGCGCATTGATCTTGGTTTTGGTCAGATAACTAACCCTTCTAAGAGCTTATGAAACAAATTTCTTTGCAAGTCTAATAATTACCATAATCCCATTCTAGCTGAGCAGTTGTGTCTTCATTAGAAGCACAATTTATTCTAATTGTCAGAGAACCCAAAATTAAGAAATAGCTATGATTAAAATTAATCAAGGCATGGATAAATCACAGGTTGTTCCATTTGCTAACTGTCCTGGATCCTCATGTTGAAGGATTTAATGACATACAATTTAAAATATAAATTAATATTTGCATTTTAGTATAATCAAGCAATTTTAGAAAAAAATGCAGTGGTATCACAGAATGTTTCATAGACAAAAGTTTGCAGCAGTCAGCCCCTGACCTATTTGCAACTGAAATGAACAAACAGATCAACTCAATTTTTGTGAGTATCATAAATGGGACACTTTGAAATTTAATGATTTGCCTAACACAGTTTGTGACAGACCAGGGACTCTGATCTTCCAGATTTCAGATTAATTCATAGAATATATCATGGTGAATGAATCTTGTAAAAAAACAAATGAAGCAAATAAAATTTTCCCTCCTCCGGCCAAGCTGGAAAACACACACCTTAGCCATCTAAGCAATATGCAGGGCCTGCACAAAAGTATTCACTGCCCTTAGATTGAAACATTCACCTCCAAAACTGTATGTGTGCTTCCTTTGAATTCAAAGGACAAACTGCATAGAAATGACAGGGCAAAATTTGGCCCTTTGATAGGAATGATGAAGAAATAACAATGACAAAATTACTTGAGTGGGAAGGCTGAAGGAGTTCTACACATTTGATGTTACACTTGACTGGAAATAAACCCAGTACATTCAATAAGCACCTCCTGGATTTTGTTATAGTCAGCACAACACATGCTGCCTGCACCACTCTATTCTTCTTGAATAAAGAGGGGGGAAAAAAAGAGAACTATCAGAGAGAGAAAGAAAAAAAGAGCACACATCCTCAATATTAAGACTGTCGATATACATCATTTTGAGACAACCACTGAGTTTCTAAAACTCAACCATGCCATCACAAGAAAACACATGAAATTTAGAAGTTTTTCAATTAAGAAAGCATTTGCCTAAATATTATCTCAAATTAATTTTATTTCAGCATGTTTTCCTATTTATGGGCTGCAGCTATTTCATGTATAATTAAAATATACCATTAATAGGGATGACTTCATATAGTAGGCATGCATGTACGACAAACTCATGGTGTTACTGTAATGGCCTATACTTTGCTTCGGTAAAATGGTGTCTTTTCACTAATCTCAATAGATTGAGGCCAATTGCAACAGCATGGATTTTGGTCCTGCTCTGCTGAACCATAAATCAGTGAAATTCCTTGCCAAAGGTTATTCTGGATACAAGAAATGGGTTCAAGGGGAGACCAGACAAGCATTTTGAAGAGAAATCCACCAATGTTACTACATGGACAACATGTAACAACTTCAGGGATTTACCAAGGGGAAAATAAATGAAGATCGGAGAGCATTAGAAAAGAAAGAACCACAGGAGCACACCCCACTCTTATTTTCCCCTGGATGTCCATTTGTGGCAAAATAGTGGGCTAGGTTTCCTTAACTAAAGGGAGAAAAGAGAGCTACCAGAACCAGAGGGAGGGAAGGAGAAAGACTGAGGAAAAACAATATTAAGACAGGCTGCAAAAGACTTAACACTCTCCAGATCTTTGGTTTTCCTCAGCACACATCCCCTCCTCATCACAACTCCCAACTTCTCCCTCCTCTCGCAACTTCAGAAAACTGAACAACAACTTTTAAAAAAGTATTGTGGAATACTTCAGTTTTTTCTTTTCTCAGCCATCTACATTTTCTTCCCTAAATTTATTATGTTATGAGAAGTCATGGAGTACAAACAAAACAAGAGTAATGTGAACAAAGACAGTTTTTCTTTTCCATGCTGGAAATCATTTACTCTATCACACTGAATAGATGTAAAAAAAACCCCAAACCAAAACCAACAAAAACAACAAACCGAAAAGGCATTTTTGTAATTTTAATAATTTGTCATAAAGGTAGGTTTTTCTTCTTTCTGAGATTTCTGAAACTTGATGACTGAACTTTTAAAATATACTATTATTTCTGTTGTTGGCCACCTTGGTTCTCAGATTCTGCACTTGCATACCACTGAGAGACCAACATTTAGAAGATCTGAACATTGATGCCAGCTGCCCTCAGGCACATGGCTGGGACAGAACTGGG